TCTACATCTACATCAGCAGCTGTATAGAGAGTGCCTTTCCCCTAATCTTTCTCTGATAGCCTAGCTAGCATCATATACCGGCCAATAATCAAACCAACCACTGTTGGTTGTCAGGGGGACATGGAATTCTCTGATTGGCCAGGCCTGTGTCAAGTTGTCAATGCCCCAAATTTGAGGATGGAGTTAACCCCTGACCCCCTACACGCCGAGTGGGAGAGGGGTGGTTTTCCAAGGAAAATCCAGGCGTGGTTATCAGAAGAGGGATGAATGCGGAGGAAGCAAGTGCAAAAGATGTTCCAGATGTTCCCTTTGCAAGTGCTTCCCAGCTAGATTGAGCGCACAAGTCACCTGGGCCTCATTAAAACACACATTCTGATCTGGGAGGTGGGGCCTGAGAGTCTGCATTTCTAAATGCTGCTGGTCCTCACACTGAGATTTTTTTTTTTTAATCCTCACCTAAGGATACTTTTCCATTTATCTTCAGATAGAGTGGGAGGGAGGGATGGAGGGAGGGAGGAAGAGAGATAGAGAGAGACACATTGACTAGCTGCCACCCGCATTACCCCAACTGAGGCCAGGAACAACCGCAACTGAGGTACGTGCCCTTGGCTGTAATCGAACCAGGGACTCTTTGGTCTGTGGGCCAATGCTCTAACTGCTGAGCCAAACCAGCCAGGACCACACTGGGATTTTATTGTGACAATGTACAAGTTCCCTTTTTACCTAGGCTACTAGGAAGCTCAGTGATAAATTTAGCACTTGGTGGCAGTAGTGGTCACACCCTAGGCTTCTGTAATCTTTCTAAATGGAGTAGCATAACCTTTTATGAGTCTTGAAGTGTTCTGTATATGGTTTAATATTATACATTCCCTCAAATACTTTTTGGAAGTCAATGCTTCCTTGGAACATACTTTTTTTTTTTTAATCCTCACGCAAGGACATGCTTAAAGAGAGAGGGAGAAAGAAAGAAAAAAAAATTGATGTGAGAGAAGAACATTAATTAGGTTGCCTTCTGTAAATGCTCCAACCAGGATTGAACCTGAAACTCAGGTATGTGCCCTAACTGGGAATTGAACCGGCAAACTTTTGGAGCACAGGACGATGCTTAACCAACTGAGCCACACCGGCCAGACTTTGGAACATTCTTGACTTTCCTCAAATCTTTATTGAAATCCTCCACGGTCTTTAAAACCCAACTCATTGTTATCCTGCTGCTCAATTATTATAAACAGGTTACTTTTTCTATATCCACTAACATACATGTTAGTGGCAGAACCTGGACATAAATGCATTTTACAAAATGGCTTGATATTATATATGTTTTGCAGATTTATTTTTTCGCTCAATAAGTATCTTAGCAATTTTTGTATGGCTCCGGTGGTCTGTGCCAATCCCTACCAGCTTCTTTGCACGTGGCTTTGGAATGTAATTCTCTATGTCCAGTCTTTCCTTCTCAACTGGGTCCCTGGATCAGGACCCACATCCTGACATCTTTCTGTTGGACTGACTACATAAATCACGGGCTCTGGGCAGGCATTTACTCACTAATCATGCACTATGCTCCTACCCTGTGCCAGGGAGGCACTGACCTAAACATTGAGGGACACAGACATGAGCAAGATGGTGTGTGCTGTGTGCAAGGATGGAAACATGCTGCATTAGCACCTGAAACATGTCGAGTCTTCACTGACTTGTGCTGTACGTGTGAAATACACACTGGGATGAGAAAAACATGAAAAAAAAAAGAATATGAAGTAATCAACTGATAATTTTTATATTGATTAGCTGTTAATAAGAATTTTGACATATTTGAAAAAATAAATATATCTGAAAATTAATCCACTTGTTTCTTTTTACTTTGAAAAATGTGGCTGCAGAAAAATTTTTTCACATCACATTTCTAGGTCTAGTGGTCAGGAAAATGAGCGTTTCTGAGGCTACGCCACACTGGGCAGTGAATAGTTTAGGGGGATAATCACATTTTATGCAAATTGGACTCCTGCTGGTATGTCACTTTTTGGTTGTTGTCGTTAATCTTCACCCGAGGATATGAGGATATTTTTCCATTAATTTTTAGAAAGAGTGGAAGGAAGGGAGGGAGGGAGGGAAGGAGGGAAAGAGAGAGAGAGAGAGAGAGAGAGAGAGAGAGAGAGACATCGATATGAGACTTTTTAAAAATCGTAATATTGTGCAAATATTGAATTAATGGGAATTCTTATTTAAAAATCTTTATTGTTGAAAGAATTACAGATGCACCCCCACTGTAATGGGAATTCTTTATTTTAAAAAGTTAACTCCTTAAGTGTTGCAGTATCTCTAAGCTTATGGGCCAAAGAAACTGCAATCTGGTCTTACTTTTGCTCCAGGGCAGGACCACGATGCTAGGAAACAGAGACGGTTATGGCTAACATTTCTGAGCACCTACTGTGTGCCAGACACCTTTACACTTATGACTCACTCTGTGCTTACCAGCATCCTTTGAGGTAAAACCCCATCATCCTTTCTCAGAGATGGCCTTGGATCATGCATGAACACAGGGCCTTCAGAAAGCCATCCCTCAGGACCCTGTGGCCATCTTGAATATGTAAATTGTGATGTAAATAATACTTAATAGGTGCTCAGAGAGGTGGAGAGAGCTGCCCTATATCACACAGCAGTGCTCTTCACAGAACACCCTCTTGTTAATCAAAATATATAAAATGTAATGCCATATAAAACCATACAATATGCTGTTTTATTTCCCCAAACTGTGATATTTATCACAAACCAAAGAGGTATTGGTTTGATTTCTGTTTTCAAAGAATATGAGCACATTATAAAGCAGTGATTAATTGTGATAACTTCTCAAGTTAATGATCCAACACTCCAGGAGTCTGAATTCCTTATTTTATTCACAAAAGGCAACTGAAGCACAAACCGCTGAAATCCTGAGGTGGTTAATTGTTCCCAGTTCCCACCAAGGCAGACGAAAACACCCTTGTAAATAAAAAGAATTTTTTTTCAAGTAACTCCCCTAAGCCTAAGAATTTAGATTTTTTTTTCTTAAACCACTAACACATGTTTATTTTAACAAGTATAACTGAGTTCTAACTGTTTTAGGAGAAAGTTTCAGTTGTGCAAAGATGAGGAAAACAATGACTTCCTTATGTGGCTGCTCACAGCCTGTCTCCTCAGCAAACACATGTGTGCATTTAGAGAAAAGAAATGAAACATTTCTTTTAAAATGTAAACATTTTACAATGAAACTTGACTCTGATCAGGTAAATGTGTTTTCTTTAAGTGTCTTTAAATTAATTAATTAATCCATCAGCACAGTCTGCCAGCTCTCCAAAGTGCCCTGAATCTGTCTGCTTCTTTTAAAAAAAAAAAAAAAAAAATTTTTCTTTATTGATTTTAGAGAGAGAGGAAGGCAGAGAGAGAGAGAGAGAGAAGTATCAATGAGAGAGAACATTGATTGGCCGCTTCCTGCATGCCCCCCACAACCTGGGGATGTGCCTTGACCGGAAATTGAATTGGTGACTTCTTGGTATGTGGGTCGATGCTCAACCACTGAGCCATACCGGCCAGGCCTGTCTGCTTCTTATCTCCTCAATAGCCACCATCCTGGGCCAGGCCACCATGATCTCACGCCTGAATAACTGCAGTGGACAGGATTCCCTGCCCTGCTCCCTACAGTCCATCCTCAACCCAGAAGCCAGTGGGATAATTTAAATTGAACCCCATCATTTTCTTGCCTAAAACTTTCCATGGTTTCCCATCACCCTTAGAATCCAATCCAACTTCCTCACTGGCTGTACAAGATGTGGTACTTCACCACATCCTGTCCTCTCCCCTGCCTGTGGTCTCCAGCCACACTGGCCACCTTTCAGTGCTTCATTCTCTCCAAGCACATTCCAGCCTCAGGACCTTTGCACTTGCTGTACCCTCTGCCTGGAACACTGTTTCCTCAGTGTTACATGACTAGCTCCTTTGTGTCATTCAGGCTCCAGGTCCAGTATCACCTCCTCAGAGAGGCCTTCCCCAACCACCCTATCTAAAGAGGCTCCACAGAGCTGTTCCCTATCATATCCTCTTTTATTATCCTCTCACTTTTCAGTAACTAAATCTATCTTGTTATTTGTTTGCCTGTTTATTGCCTGTGTGTCCCATTCATTTCCAGTGTGAGCTCCATAAGGGCATGAATTTGCTTGTCTTATTCATAGTTTAGAAAAGTGCTCAATAAGTGTTCGCTGAGTAAATGAATGAATGAATGATCAAATAAATCAGTGAGACTAAAGGAGAGAGAGGGAGAGGAAGCTGTTATAAAGCAATTATAAAATGATAGGAGGAACATGATGCCTTGACGATAATTTAGCTTGATTTTTTGAGCCACATTATGTGACCTTGTCTTTGTCATTTAATATAAAATGGTAATTTATTAGATAATAATAGTATAGTTTCACTTTACTGTTTACTCTGAGCCTGATGCTGTGCTGCGTATCTGCCCGCCCACATGCTTTCTCTCATCCTTCCAGCACCCTGAGAGTAGGTTGCGTTATCGCCCCTCTTTTGCTGATGAGGAACTGAGACTGGGGAGCAGGGCGAGTGATGAGTGAGGTGTGGGTAGGGTGGAGCATCCAAGTGTCATCAGTCTTTCTGAGCCCACCAGCTGTGCCCATCAACACCTGCTCTGCTCCCCTGCTCCAGTCATTGAACTTCAATGATCTCATGATTCTTTCTCTGAATAAATTCTCCTCAGCAAAAGTCCTTGGTAGCATAACTATAAAATGTGTCAGTTCTGTGCGGGTGCATGGTTGGCATAGATGTGGGGAAGCCCAGAGATGGCAAGGGCAGAGTGAGCTCTGCGTGGCAAGGGTGGGGTAGCGGGCTGACAGGGGAGGTAAGATGGGGAAGGAGAGGAGAAGCCAGCCTGGGGGCAGGGTACCTTGAACCTAGCACCAAAGACTCCCCTGCATGGGCCTCAGTGCCAGCAGGGCTCACCTCCCTTCTCTCTGCCGCAGGATGGGGTGCGTGAAGTCCAAGTTCCTCCGAGACAGAGGCAAGAACTCAAAAGCTGAGCCCAATGCCAACCCACACAGCCCCGTGTACGTGCCGGATCCCACATCCTCGGGCAAGCGGGTGAGTGGGGAAAGAAGGAGGGAGTCAGAGCCGGGGTGCAGTTGAGGCTGCTCCATGCTGTCCCAAATTGACCTAAGAGCCTCCTGCCTCCCCAAGGGTAAGCAGGCATGTTTAGTGCAATGGAGCAGCATCCTAACTCTTCAGCAGACGTCTGCACTGAGCTCCCAGGACAAGGACGTCACTCCTCCTTGTCCTGCCACTAGGCCTTGGCTTGTCAGCCTGGGCTCCAGTGACCAGGTCCCAGTGAGCGTGGCAGGCCTCAAGCCTGGGAAGTAGCAGAAGCAGTGCTGAGCATAATGGGTGACCAGACAAGTACCAACAGCGGTTGAAGTAATGACAGTAATGATGATACATACTATCAGGGTCATAGCAATAACTGTAACAACAATTGTAGTAATAACAGCAACAACAACACCAGTGGGAGTATAGCAGCAATAAGAGAAATGCAATGCTGGTAGAGGTATTTACTTACGTTTATCCAGAGCCTGCGATGAACCAAGTACTATCCTAGGCACTTTACAGTTATTAACACCTTTAATCCCCACAATAATCTGATTGTGGGTCACAATTTTTTTTTTGTTTTTTTTTGTTATCCTCACCCGAGGATATTTTTCCATTTTTTGTACAGATAGAGTGGGAGGGAGAGAGAGGAAGGGAGAGAGAGAGAGAGAGAAACATCGATGTGAAGGGACACACCGAGTGGCTGCCACCCGCACGACCAACCAGGACCGGGGACAAACTGCAACCGAAGTACGTGCCCTTAGCGGCAACCGAACCCGGGTCTCTCCGGACCGCAGGCCGACGCTCTAACCGCTGAGCCAAACTGGCCAGGGAGTGGGTCACAATTTTTATGACATCCATTTTACATATGAGCCACAGATTAAATAAATTGTCAAAGGCCACATGGTTGGTGTGGGGCAGAGCCAGGATTCAAAGTTGGGCCATGCAGGTTCCAAAGTACCAATGACAGGAGCAAGAGCGACAGAGGCAGAGGCTGAGGGCCAATGACTGGGGCAGCAGTAACGGTGGGAACTGTGGGAATATGGTGGCAGAAGCAGTCATGGTAACAGCACCACTAGTAATGGTGGTCGTGACAGTGATAGTCAGAGAGCAGTAATAGCAGTGATCGTGGTGCTAACAACAGCAGTACTGCCCATGGTGATGGCAGTCCTGGTAGCAGCAGCAAGCGCTGTGACCATCGATACCTACTGTGTTCCAGGCATTAGAATGAGAGGTTTCCACATCATTAATCTTCACCGAAGCTGTGAGGAAGGAGTTCTGTCGCTTTACAGTCAGGGGGACCAAGGCTTTCAGTGGTGAAATGGCTCCCAGGGGTCACACAGCTGGGCTTTCTCCCTCTCCGGAGTCCATCTCCTTATCTGAGACTGTCCAAAAAAGCACAGCCTGTCCTTGCTGCCTCCAGAGGCAGATGTGTTCTCCTTTTCCTGGCGCCCCTTATAAAGTTCTTCCTTGTATTGAAGGACAGTCTGTTACCCCATAACTCCTACTCCTTGTTCCCAAACCTACCCCTTAGCCCGCTCCAAACACATCCACTCCCTTTGCCCCATGACAGCCTGTAGAGGTTGAAGGCAAAGATCTTATCCTAACCCACTAATTTCTTCCAAATCTTTTTGCTCATAACATGGGTTCCTGAACTCTCTCCACCCTGCATGCCCTTCTCCAGGCATGATGTCTAGAACAGGGCTCATTCTGGAATAGTCACCTCCCTCCATCTGACACTTGACCTCTTTTTTTTTTTTTTTTTTTTTTATTCTCACCTGAGGACATTTTTCCATATTTTGTTCAGATAGAGTGGGAGGGGGAGAGAGAGAGAGAAACATCGACGTGAAAGGGACACATCGAGTGGTTGCCACCCACACAACCCAACCTGGGCTGGGGACAAACTGCAACCGAGGTACATGCCCTTAGCGGGAACCGAACCCGGGTCTCTCTGGACCGCAGGCCGACGCTATAATCGCTGAGCCAAACTGGTCAGGGCTTGACCTCTTTTAATACAGCCTGAGATTACAAGAGTTTCTCACACTGGTGATGTCCTGAGCTGATATCCTAAACCCTCGGTCACTCCTGGTCTGCCTCTCTCCCAACCTGCCTGACCCTGGGCCCTTTCTGTGGCTAAGGAGCCAGGTTCTCAGGTTCTCTGAGGCCCTCTAGCTTGTCACCAGTGGGAAGTAGAGGGTTTTCTCCCACCAGTTTCTGGTTGTCCTCTCTGAGCATCAGATTTAAGGGTTTCTATATTCAGCCATTCACTGTTTCCTTCCTGCAGGACACTGGTTCAGTGGTAAGTTAGTAAGTGTTCCTCAGAGAAACGGTTCCCAGGACAAACCCGTTTGTGAAAACAGGCTCCTTCCCTAGAGAACTCCTCAAGGCCTTTGTGAATCTTTGCAACGGGCTTGTGACTCCCCCAGAAAAGAATGTACTTCTCAGTGTTTCCCAAACCCGTTTCTTTAAATTACTGTATATTTAAGTGTGTGACACACGAATATATTCGCCATGAAAAGAAAAGTCACAAATCACAGTAAATGCTACAGTTTCTTCTGACCAGTGACCCCTCCCCAGAGGTCTCACCCCTGTCCCCAGAGGCATCAACGGTTGTCAGTTTGGTGAGGATTCTTGCAAATCTTTGCCGTGAATATACACTCACACATGCATAGTATGTGTCCACAGAAAGTATTTAGGATGTGTATATGCATTTTGTGTAAATTATCATATTCTGAAGAACGAGCTTTGTTCACTCAACAATGTGTCTTTGAGGTTTGTGTCAAGAATGAAGCTCAACCTCCCTCTTATAAGGGCTGCTTGTGCCACAGTGTAGGCACCAACTCCCCTTGAGATAGACACTTAGGATCTTTCACATACATCATGGAGCCTTTACGCATAGAACATGTTGGTGGACCCAGGGTTTCTTCAAACATACCTTGGAAAACATGGATCTGGACCAACCCTTTCACTGTATGTCAAGGGGAAGAGACAAGCCAGTGTCCCCCAGTATGTCCAAAACCAAGGGCAGAGCCCACAACCCAGAGACCTGGATCCTTGTTGTGGCTATATCCCTAATGTGCTGTGTGACCTTAGGCGCCTCCCCTGCCCTCTCTGGGCCTCTTCCCATGATTCACAGTGCTGGGATAGGAGGCCTTTGGGTATACTTTTTGACACAGGCCTTCTATGGCTCGCCACACACTATTGGATTCACCCCCTTCTTCTGTTTCTTCCCTGCAGCGACCTGACACCAGCAATGGCAACCCCCCAGGGTCCATGGAGGGTAAGTATCTGGCAAACCCTTGTAATGGAGTATTGTGTTATATAAAGGACTAGGTTAGGTTCTCAGTCAGAGCTTGAGGCAAAAGTCCCAAACAGTCAAAACCACCCTTAAAAATCCCCTAAATTGCCCCAAAGTACTTCATATGGGCTATTTTGTTCCTATCACACTGTTTAATAACATGAACAAAACACAGTTAGCTTTAAACTGTAGAATCGCAGCCAGCATGGCAAGATGCTTATTTATAAGACACATCAGTGGGTCCAGGGCTGAGTGCCAGGTGTTGGGATGGGACATACCCAGGCTATGGGGTACTCAGATAAAGCCTCACTATCCCATGTCTCATGTCCCAGCAGGTTCTGAGGACATCGTGATTGCCCTGTATGATTACGAGGCCATTCACCGTGAAGACCTAAGTTTCCAGAAGGGAGACCGGATGGTGGTCCTGGAGGAGTGAGTCCTCATTCCCCTCCCCCAAGATATAACTAACTCTAATACTCAGTTATATGCTCTTTTGTGCTTCAATAAAGAACCTGGTAGGCAACCTTATATTAAGGTGTAAATGACTGATGAGAACCTGATCATAATGGAGGAGGAAGAGTTGGCTGTTAACCTGGCTAAAAGCCATAACAAATGGGCGTGTGTACTTACTAATGATGCACATCCTGGTGTGGATGAACAGCTCAAAGCACTTTCCCAGGAAAGCCTTCCTCTGGCTCCTGTCAAGCTGCAGGATTACCTGTGGACCAGACCCTTTGCATTCAGAAATCCTTGGATCTCTGAGTTTGCTACTGCCAATCTCCTCCAGTCTTGACCATCAGTGGGTGTCGTGTCTAGTATATGTGGGGGGTCAAAAAATGGCAGTGGTTATGCTTGGTCAAACTCCTTAGCCCACTCCCTCTGGCTCTTGGCCCTAGCTGAACCCCTAGAACAGTGGGTTGTGACCCCTTTGGGGGTCGAACGACCCTTTCACAGGGGTCACCTAAGACATAACAGTAGCAAAATTACAGTTATGAAGTAGCAACAAAAGTAATTTTATGGTTGGGGGTCACCACAACATGAGAAACTGTATTAAAGGGGTGCAGCATTAGGAAGGGTGAGAACCACTGCCCTAGAGTCCGCCATGGACACAGGGCCCCACCTTGGGCTTGGCTAGGAAGGCCAAGGCTGCAAGCCCAGGGGAAAAGAGCAGGGCCAAAGACCTAGGGCTGAGGGCTGTGAATGCAGGCACAGGCCCTCAGATGCACAATGGGACTGTTGTAAATACTCCTACCCTAATCATGGGGTGTGTGCAGGGGGTATTCTAGGCCAAGGCTGAGGAGCCCAAGAGGACCAGGGGGAGTCCTTCTGTCCCCTGACCCTTTGCTCCCTGTCCCTTAGGTCTGGGGAGTGGTGGAAAGCTCGGTCCCTGGCCACTCAGAAAGAGGGCTACATCCCAAGCAACTACGTCGCCCGCGTTGACTCTCTGGAGACAGAGGAGTAAGTATTCCATTTTCCTGCCCTCCAGAAGGAAACATGAGCAAAGCCAGCCTTGTGCCTGCCTCAGGGCCTTTGCATTCCCTATCCCCCCTACCTGGAGCACTCTTTCTAGGGTTATTTGCCTGGCTGGCTCCTTCTCATCCTTCAGGTCTCAGAGAGGCCTTCCCTGACCACCCTGTCTAAAGTAGGTCCCCTTTGTTACACTCTTATTCCTTTTTGAATACTTCTCACTAGCATTTCTTCCTTGTGCAAGATTTGTGGGATAACTTCCTAGGGGTAGATCTGTCAGGGAGACAGTTCTAACTGTGTACCCTGTAACATTGTTAGACTATTTTCCCATGGCATGAATCATTTTACAAAATGAAATCATCAGAAAAGAGGAAGTAAAACTGTCATTCACAGATGGCATGATATTGTACAAAGAAAACCCCAAAGACTCCATCAAAAATCTACTAGATTTAATAAATGAATTTGGCAAAGTAGCAGGATACAAAATTAACATCCAGAAATCGATGGCATTCTTATACACCAATAATAAAAACTCAGAAAGGGAAACTAATATATATATATATATATATATATATATATATATATCCCATTTACCATTGCAACAACAAAAAATAAAATACCTAAGAATAAGCGTAACCAATGAGGTAAAAGACCTGTTCTCAGAAAACTACAGGACATTGAATAAAGAAATAGAGGAAGATATAAAAAGTGTAAACATATACCATGTTCATGGATTGGAAAAATCAACATCATTAAAATGTCCATACTACCCAAAGCAATCTACAGATTCAATGCAATCCCTATTGAAGTACCAAGGGGCATATCTCACAGATCTAGAACAAATATTCCAAAAGTTTATATGGAACCATAAAAGACCCTAAATAGCCACAGCAATCTTGAAAAAGAAGAACAAAGTGGGAAGGATTACAATACCAGATATCAAGCTATACTACAAAGCCATCATAATCAGAACAGCCTAGTACTGGCATAAGAACAGGCATACAGATCAATGGAACAGAACAGAGAACCCAGATATCGACCCAAGACAGTATGCATTATTAATATTTGACAAAAGAGGCAAGAGCATACAACGGAGAAAAGACAGTATCTTCAGTAAATGATGTTGGGAAAATTAGACAGCTAAATGCAAAAAAAAAAAAAAAAAAATGAATCTAGACCACCAACTTACACCATACACAAGAATAAACTCAAAATTGATAAAAGACTTAAATGTAACCCATGAAACCATAAAAATCCTAGAAGAAAATGTAGGCAGAAAAATATCAGGCATCATATGTGGTGGAATTTTCACTGATACATCATTGCCTAGGGCAAGAGAAACAAAGGAAAAAATAATAAATGGGACTACATCAAATTAAAAAGCTTCTGCACAGCAAAAGAAACCAGTATCAAAATGAAAAGGGAACCCATTCTCTTGGAGAACATATTTGCCAACGATACACTAAATAAGGGCTTAATATCCAAAATATATTCATACAATTCAACAAAAGAAAAACAACAACCCACTTAGAAATGGGCAGAAGACCTGAATAGACACTTCTCCAAAAAGGACATACAAATGGCCAAGAGACATATAAATAAATACTCAACATCTCTAATAATCAAAGAGATGCAAATTAAAACTATGAGATATCACCTCACACCTGTCATAATGGCATCAACAAATCATCAAACAACAAGTGCTGGTGAGGGTGTGGAGGAAAGGGGACTCTAGTGCACTGCTGGTGGGAATACAGTCTGGTATAGCCACTATGGAAAACAATATGGTGTTTCCTCAAAAAATTAAAAATAGAACTACCATTTGACCCAGTGATCCCACTTTTTGGAATATAAGCCTGAAACACCAATAAGGAAGAATATATGCACCCCTATGTTCATAGCAGCAATATTTACAGTAGATAAGATCTAGAAACAACCAAAGTGCCCATCAGTAGATGAGTAGATAAAAAAGCTGTGGTACATTTACACAATGGAATACTATGCAGCTGTAAGAAAGAGAAATCTCTTACTCTTTGAGACAACATGGATGTTCTGGGGAGTATTATGCTAAGTGAAATAAGTCAGAGAAAGACAAGTACCACATGATTTCACTTATTTGTGGAACATAATGAACAAAATAAGCTGTCGACCAAAATAGATCCAGAGACATGGAAGTAGGGAACAGACTAACAAACCTCAGAAGGATGGGGGTGGGAGGGATGGGAAGAGATAAACTAAAGAACTTAAATGCATATATGCCCAACTAATGGACATGGACAGTAGGCTGGGAAAGACAGGAGGGAGGGTAGGAGCAGGAAGGAGGGGGCCAGTGGGGATAAAAGGGGGACATCTGTAATACCTTCAACAATTAAAAACAAGAGAGAGAGAGCAAAAAAAAAAAAAAAAAAAAAACCACACAACTCTGGTTGGTTTGGCTCAGCAGATAGAGTGTTGGCCTGCGGTCCAGAGAGCCCTGGGTTCGGTTCCCGCCAAGGGTACGTACCTCGGTTGCAGTTTGTCCCCGGCCCCGGTTGGGTCGTGTGGGTGGCAGCCACTCGATGTGTCCCTTTCATGTCAATGTTTTTCTCTCTCCCTCTTCTTCTCTTTCCCTCCCACCTATCTGAACAAAAAATGAAAAATTGTCCTCGAATGAGGATAAAAAAATAAAATTAAAAAAAACTCACAAAATGAAATCAAAGAAGACAGTGGGTTGGGGGAAGGGCAGGCAGTGTAGCACGGTGGTTTGGAGCTTGGGTCTAGAGTTAGACTGCCTGGATTTGAAGCCTGGCCCCACCAATTCCCAGCTGTATGATGCCAGGCAAGTTACTTGCTTTCTCTGTTCCTCAGTTTTCTCATCTATAAAATGGGGATAATAAGGGCAACAATTCCACAGAGTTGTGGGGTGGATGAATGTTAGCTTTCTTTCTCTGTAGTTTATACAGAGGATACAGAGGCCCAGAGAGGAAAAGCAACTTGCTCAAAGTCACAAAGCAGGTTTATAGCAGGTCAAAGCCTGCTGACCTCTGGTCTGGGGCTTTTTCCATCACGGCACATGAATCAGTGCTCACCCTGCTGAGGGTGAGAATGGATTTGGCTGCTGCTGCTTGAACTTTCCCACCTAGTATACTAAGTATTCTGGGAGAATGAACAAAAGATCCAAGGATATAGTCCCAAGTATAAAATTATTTGAAATCTCGCATATTTGCTTAGAAACTCATACCAATTTTATATTTGACTTTGTATTACACAAAGGAAGATAAACTGTGAAGGTGACAAAGCTCAGACCCTCACTCACATGGGCCTTCAAGGCCCTGAGAAGAATGTCATGTGTTCTTGTGAAATTTGCAAAAGTAAGATTTTGACCACAGTTAGTTAAGACTACTGTGTCTTCACATTCAGTCTTTCTGTCCATCTCCTTACCCCTTTCATTGGGTAGTGTTGGAATGACCCCTGAACATTTTGTATTTGTACTGCTGTGTTATTTTTCTTAAAGAACAACTCCCCAACATCTCAGCAACCTGGATTCAACCTTGGTGAAATATCTATTTAATTTTTATTTTTAATTAAAAAAATGTTTTTTCTTTGATTTGAGAAAGAGAGGAAGAAAGAAGGAGAGAGAAATAGAAACATCAATGAGAGAGAGCTTCGATTGGCAGCCTCCTGCATGCTCCCCACTGGGGATTGGGCCCACAACCTGGGCATGTGTCCTGACCAGGAATCGAACTGGCGGCACCCCTTCTGGTGTATGGGTCAATGCTCAACCACTGAGTCACCCCAGCCGGGCTAAAATAACTGTTTTAATATCAAAAGAATCATTGTATTTCCCAAAAGAATCTTTGAGGAAAATCGATGCTGCACGAAGCCAGGCCCTTGGTATCCCAGTGCCCCTTGTCAGTGGGACAGGACTTGCCGCCTGTGGTTCACACGCTGTCTCCCCCGCCCCTTTCCACCAGGTGGTTCTTCAAAGGCATCAGTCGGAAGGATGCAGAGCGCCAACTCCTGGCCCCTGGCAACGTGTTGGGCTCCTTCATGATCCGGGACAGCGAGACCACCAAAGGTGACCCAGTCTTCCCCACACTACCTATCTAGATTAGCAGTTCTCAACCTGTGGGTCGCGACCCCTTTGGGGGTCAAACGACCCTTTCACAGGGGTCACCTAAGATCATCAGAAAACACATATTTCCGATGGTCTTAGGAAATGAGACACCACTCCTCTATCCGTCTCCAGGCGGGTCTGCCCACATGCAGATACACCCACATACAACATGAAGAACTATATTAAAGGGTCACGGCATTAGGAAGGTTGAGAACCACTGATCTAGATAGACAGACAGATGGATAGATACATGATGATGATGATGATGACAGACAACATTTACTGAGAGTTTACATCCTGACTACTTTACAAGCATTACTTCTTTCAATTATCAGGCAATGGGATGAGATAGGGAGGTCTCATGACCAATCCCATTTTACAGATGAGGAAACTGAGGCACGGAGAAGTGATACACTCACTTGTCCAAGGTTTCACAGCTGGATGGAGGAGCCTGGACAAGAACCCAGGCAGCCTGACTCCACAACCTACTCTTACCCTTGTGCTCAACTGCCCAGGTGCCAGGATGGTGCCAGCAGTGGCCTTACAGGGGTGTCAGGGTACTGACATGAAGTGACAAGCCTCCGAGGTTCCACTCTGAGCAGTTTCTCTCTGGCCAATGTAGGGAGCTACTCTTTGTCTGTGCGGGACTACGACCCCCAGCACAGGGATGCAGTGAAACATTATAAGATCCGGACCCTGGACAACGGGGGCTTCTACATCTCCCCACGAAGCACCTTCAGCACCCTGCAGGAGCTGGTGGCCCACTACAAGAGTAAGTCCTGCCCAGGGCCACATCCCAACTAGGGTGGACCTGTCTCCTGGGAATCCTAGTCACAGTGCACTGTGCCTCTGAGGCCTGCTGAGCTCTTTCTGACCCTCCCTAGACAAATAGTTGCTTTGGATTCTCCTAAAATCTTAGGCCTATTGAGAAGGAGGGCAGAGGTAGCATGTCATCATGCTCTGCTCTCTTGGGAATGTCCCTGATCATGGCAACTCACTGCAGCACTGGCCAGGTGCACTGGCCCAGGCAGGGAGGCATCTGAGGGGGAGCCTCTGGCTGGCTCAGGGCTGGCCGCCCTCCACTGACCAGCAACTCTATTTCAGAAGGGAGCGATGGACTCTGCCAGAAGCTGACAGTGCCCTGTGTGTCCTCCAAGCCCCAGAAGCCATGGGAGAAAGATGCCTGGGAGATCCCCCGGGAATCCCTCAAGCTGGAGAAAAAGCTTGGAGCCGGGCAGTTTGGGGAAGTCTGGATGGGTAAGGACCCAGGGCCAGAGGGTGGCGGGAAGGAGAGAGGAGGAAGGTCATTACTTCCAGGAATAGCCTGAGACAAAGTGGGAATGCCACCAAGGGCAAAGGGGAGATCTGAGTAATCATAAAGGAGCAGTCCCTCTGATAGCAAACCAAGTTGTCCTGCCATGAAAACACTGATTTACCTTGGAAGCCAGGCCTGTTGGGGTCAAAAATTTCCTTCTGGGAAGCAAGAGTCCTGGATGAGGAATCCACTCCCTGACATGGGGCTTGGACAGACTACCAATTTGGGGTTGAGATCACCAGAGGCCTCTTAGGATGATGAAAATTAAAAGTGGGGAAATGCAGCGTCGAGATTTCCAGGTGAGTTCAATGTTGGCAACTGATGAACAAGCTGTTCTGAGCACCTGCTGTGTGCTAGCACCGTGCCAAGGCATTGTGGGGCACCAATAAGGCACCTCCCACCCCTGCTGTCCTGCCCCTAATAACGAGAACAGCAATGCCTGCTTTGCAGAATTGTGTGGTCGATGCAATGCCTGGCCCAGTGCCTGGTGCACCCGATTATGTTTCCACCCACCATGTTTCAAATGGGAGTGAAGACAACTTGCAGAGTTGCAAACAACTTAGAAGAAAAGTTTAAAATCCACATATTTCAACTGTATTTATTGAGAGCCTGCTATATGCCAGCACTGAATAAGAGAATGTGGCAGAGAAAGTATGGAGAAGAAGGTAAGACAGATCTGAGTAATGAGTTAGGAAACAAAAATACATTATATAAGGCTTTAGATTCTTACTACAGAAAGAAATCAAATTTAAATTAGAGCTTCCTGGCATCCAAGGCAAAAATGGAAACACAGCCCTGGCTGGTTTGGTTCAGTGGTTAGAGCATTGGCCCACAGACCAATGAGTTGTGGGTTCGATTCTGATCAGGAGCACATACCTCAGTTGCCGTTCGTCCCTGGGCCTGGTCAGGGTTCTGCGGGAGGCAACTAGTCAATGTGTCTGTCTCACATTGATGTTTCTCTCTCCCTCTCTTCCCTTCTCTCCCTCTCCTTCTCCCTCTCCTTCTCCCTCTCCCTCTCCCTCTCCCTCTCCCCCTCCCCCTCCCCCTCCCCTCCCTCCCCCTCCCCCTCCCCCTCCCCCTTCCCCTCCCCCTCTCCCCTACTCTATCTGATGATAAATAGAAAAATATCCTCGGCTGAGGATTAAATCTCTTAATTGAGAGATTAGGCAATTAAGAGATTTATAGGGTCATCAACAAGACAAAGTAGGGGTGGGGTGAGGGGATATCATGTGCAAAGCTCCTGTGCTGGGAGAGGTGGTTGGGTGCTTGAGGGGCTGAGTGACACGCAGGCTGACTAGTGCACAAAATCAAGGAGTTTTGTGGATGATGAAGCTGGCAAGGTGGGCAAGGCCAGATCATGCAGGGCCTTGTAAACCATGAGGAGACTGGCATTTATTTTGAGAGCAGTGTAAAAATTAAAGCATTTTAAGAAAAGGTGATGTGTGTGTATGAGAGAGTGACATAATCTGAGTGATGTTTTGAGGTGTTTTTTTTTATTAATTTGTTTTTGTTACAAATGTTTCTCCTTTCCCCCCCATTGACACCCTCCTCCTGATCCTGCCCCCCTCCCCCTGCCCCCCCCTGCATTGTTGCCTATGTCCATTGGTTATGCATATATGCATATAAGTTCTTTGGTTTCTCTCTTCACTCTCCTCCACTCCCTCTTCTGAGTTTTGTCAGTCTGTACCCTACTTCTATGTCTCTGGGTCTATTTTGTTCGTCAGCTTATTTTGTTCATTACATTCCACAAATAAGTGAGATCATGTGATACTTGTCTTTCTCTAATTGGCTTATTTCACTCAGCATAATACTCTCCAGGTCTCTCCATGTCGTCTCAAAGGATAAGAGATCTTTCTTACAGCTGCATAGTGTTCCAGTGTGAAGTTATTCTTTAATCCCTACAACAGCTCTTCAAAGGCAGTACTTAGCATTTCTACTTTGCAGGTGAGGAAACCACAGTTGAGGGAGGTTAAGTAACTTGCCCAAGGGCACACAGCTAGGAAGTGGTAAACCAGCTTTCCAACCAACATCTGTCTGAGCAAAAGCCCATCCCTCTCTAAGGGCTGAGAAGGGCACAGAAAGCTTTGTGGAGGAGGCAGGTCTGCAGCTGGGCCTTCCTGGGCTGTGGGAAAAGAGCAGTGTGTTCTGACCACCTTTCCTGCTTTCTCTCCCACTCCAGCCACCTACAACAAGCACACCAAGGTGGCTGTGAAGACGATGAAGCCAGGGAGCATGTCTGTGGAGGCCTTCCTGGCAGAGGCCAACCTGATGAAAACTCTGCAGCATGACAAGCTGGTGAAGCTGCATGCAGTGGTCACAGAGGAGCCCATCTTCATCATCACAGAGTTCATGGCCAAAGGTGCTGTGTCCTAGGGGCTGGGGATGCAGGCCATAGCTCATACAAGTCCACTGAAGACAGGGTGACTCTGACATGGTTCTTGCCCTCAAGATGTCCCCAGTCTGGCCAGGAGCTCTTTCCACAAGTACTCATTGGGCACCTTAATATGCAGCTCCCCAGCCCTCTGGGTTAATGGAGTGAAATCATGTTCAGGGGATACCAGGGGATGGGGAGTACAGGAAGCTACCAGGAGAGGGGAGTAGGGTAGAACCCCATTGGGTGATGGGAGAAGAGGCTCATGGATTTACTGTGAGCCTTAAAGACCAGCAGCAGCTCTTCCCCTCAGCGAAGTTCCCTGCATGGACCCATGCTCTTGGGAAAGAGATTGACAAAGCATCTGTTCCAGGCTGTCTCCACCCTGCCCACCCCTGATCCAGAATTTCTCAGGGACGTTTTTAGGCCACCATTTCACAACCATTTTATTAATAGAAACATCTCACCCAACCTCATTTAGTGTGATTTAAAATCTCAAAACTTTTTTCATTTTCTAAATACATAGTTACGGCAGCCTTATCAAACCATAGCCCAAGTTATCTGGGCTCAGAAAGCTGTCTCAGTCAAAGAACCAGTCTAGCAATCACATAGTCATTGAAAAACACTCAGATTATTTCTCTCAAACACTAGTAGTGGTAAATAAATATTTTTATTTCAATCCATCGCTATGAACAATTTTACCCCAAGTGGCAAGAGCCGTCAATGTGGCTTCCCCTCCCCCACAGGAAGCCTGCTGGACTTCCTGAAAAGTGAAGAAGGGAGCAAGCAGCCATTGCCAAAACTCATTGACTTCTCAGCCCAGGTGAGAGGCTACTGGGGAAGTGCGGGACGGGGTGGAGACAGGAATTCAATGATTTATTCAGCAAATACTTATTGACCACGTACTATAATAATAGCAACAGTACAGGCTAACATTTATTGAGTGCTCTGTATAAAAGTATACTTTAGAGAAACATCTATAACAAAAATAAATTAATTAATTAAAAAAATAAAAATTTAAAAAATAAATGAATAAATAAAAAGAAATGGGTGCTGGAAAAATTAAATAAATTAAAAAATAAAAATATACTTTAGAGAGAGAGGGAGAGATAGAAACATCAATTGGCTGCTCCCTACCAGGGATTAAGCCCACAACCTGGGCATATGCCCTGACTGGGAATTGAACCGGCAACCCTTCGGTACATGGAACACCGCCCAACCGAGCCACACTGGCCAAAGCTAAAAATATACTTTTTTTTTTTTCCTCACCCGAGGACATTTTTCTATTTTTTGTTCAGATAGAGTGAGAGGGAGGTGGAGGAAGAGAGAGAGAAACATCGATGTGAAAGGGACACATCGAGTGGCTGCCTCCTGCAGGACCCAACCAGGGCCGGGGACAAACTGCAACCGAGGTACGTGCCCTTAGCTGGAACCGAACCCGGGTCTCTCCGGACCGCAGGCTGACGCTCTAACCTCTGAGCCAAACTGGCCAGGGCTAAAAGTATACTTTTGAAATGTGCCTTACGTGTACTAACTCATTTAGTCCTCACATCATCCTTCTAGGGTGAGATTTTTGTTATCTATTCTTATGTAACAAACAACCCCAAAGCTTAGGAGCTGAAACAACAATTTGGTATTTCTCATGATTCTGTGGGTTGACTGGAGTTGGCTGGGTAGTTCTTCTACTCCACGTGTTGAAACTGAAGTCACTCACATGGCTGCATTCTGCTGGCAGCTTGCCAAGGGCTAGAATGTCCACGATGGTGTCTCATCCTCTGGAGTCTTTCTCCACGTGGCACCTCATCACTCAGCAGTCCAGCCAGAGGTCTTTATGGCTTGGCCATGAGGTCCCAAGAGGGAGTGTACAAACAGACTAAGCCCTAATGTGCAAATGCTGTTGAAGCTTCTGCCTGCGCCATGCTTACTAACGTCCCATTAGCTAAAGCAAGTCACAGGCCCCAGCCCAGAGTCAGTGTGGGAGGGGACTGGCCAAGGGTCTGAGTCCAGGAGCCATGGTCCATTGGGAGTCACCGACGTGACAGTCTGGCCACAGGATAGTGTTTGCCACCCCGGTTTATATAATAGGAACTTGGGGCATAGAGAAGAAGATAAGTACAGATGAGGAAACTGAGGCCCAGGGAGGTTAAGTAGCTTGCCTAAGTTACTATGTTCATTTGGGGGGATACGGCAGTGAACAAAATGGAAAGAATTGCTTTCCTCACAGAGTGAATAGTCCAGATGGGAAAACAGATATTAAATAACTGACTCACTTTAAGAGCTATGACCAAAGAGGCCTGGCTCAGTGTCAAGAGAATTCAGTGTCCAGCAAAATAATAATGTATACGGGTCACAGAAACATTTCTTAAAGCCCTATTTTCTTTCTCATCTTCCCTTCACTCTCTGCAGCTCCTCTCACCCTCAGTCTGAGTGCTTTTTATTTCTATCCCCTTTCGTTCTGTCCGATTTGTGGGGAGATAGGTAGGAAAGGAATGCTGTGGGAGTAAATGACGAGCATAGAGCCTGGTCTAGGAGCAATCCAAGAAGACTTCCCAAAGGAAGTGGTCTCTAGGTTGAGTCCTAAAGAATGAGTACAAGTGAGTCTGATGAAGAGGAAAGGTTCTAGACAAATGAAACGGCCTGTGCTAAAGCTCAAAGGGGAGAAAGGAAAGAACTGGGCCTGGTCAACTGGTGCCTGGGGCTGGTAAAGATGAAGGGAGTGTGGTTTGCAGCCTGAAGGGTATTAAGGGAGACCTGCCCCAGGGCCTAGGGCTGGGCCTTCTGTAGATGCCTAAGGCAGAGCTCATATAAGTAGGCAAATCCTGGGGGTGGGGGAAGAGCAGAGGTATAAATAAAGGTCTTATATTTCAGAGCCTGAAATGACTGAGACATATGGAAATCAAGACCTCGCATTTAATGGGCCCTGTCCCTAGAGAAACAATAGTCTAGTCTGTTGCTAAATTATAACCATCAAACTGGCAGAAACCTTGCTGAGCAGAGTCATCGACTGGGGCAAAAACCACTCTCCTCATTTCACAGATGGGAAAACAAACCAAGGGAGGAATGAGGTGCCAGACCCTTGTTCATCCAGGAGCAGAGGTGAACTCAGGGCCCAACCTGGGCTTTGCCTCCAGTCCTAGAAGCAGACTGGCACAGTGCTGGGTACCCCAGATCTGTCGCCACCTGGCTGATGGCCTTGGATCCACTCTGGGTCTCAGTCTCTCCATTTGTCAGATGAGGAAAAATTGGGAATTGGATCAACTCTATTGGTCAATGAAACCATATACAGTAGCTGAATATAAGAAGGTCAAAACAGAGCTACTCTGATTGAATGGTAGGGCCTTTCTTTGTCCCACTTCCTGCCCCAACCCCTCTGGCAGTACATCAAACTGAAGTACCAGTAGGATTCAGTTTAAAGCGCTGGAATACTCATACAGGCCCTTCCAGCTGTGACTGTGATTCCCTGATATTTTTGAAAGAAACCCAAGTTCCAATGCCTGACATAATGGCAGCCCATTTGGTGGTCATGAAATCTCATCACCTGATCAACCCCCAATTTTTAGATCAACCCTGAGCCCAGCAAACATATCCATTAATTCATTAAGTTGACAAAACCCTGGGAAGCAACACTGTGTATTGGGCTTAGGAGCTGCACAGAATTTCGGTTTTGATCCCAGCTCTGCCTGTGTAGCTTTGAGCTCTCAGAATGCCACGTTCCTCAGCAGGTAGCACTAATTGCCACCATTGAAGTGAATATTTACATGCCAGACACCATTCTTAGTTCTTGATGTAGGCTTACAAGACCGATCCTCGTAGAACCCCTCAGAAGCAGGTTCTACTATTGTCCCCATTTTACAGAGAAGAAAGGTGAGGCACAGAAAGTTGAAGTAGCTTGGTTGAGATCACAGAGCTGTGGGGCTCAAGCTGAGCTGGTCCAACTCCAGAGGCACTTAGGCATTATCCCCTACTGTTTCACGTGGGGTTAGTCCCACCTGCCCCACTGCCCTCCTGTGAAAATCAATAACATGAATGTCTGCCAGTGGGTGCTTAAAATGGTAACTACCAGCATTAGTGCCTGCTCTGTGCCAAATAGATGGTCAAAACGTCAGGCAGAGAAATGGGTATTGTGCATAGACCGTGAGCTCGACTGCTGGAGTTCCAACCCTGGTCTTCACTTGGACCAGTTACTTATTTCTCTGGTCTTCAGCTTTCTTCCTTGTGAAATACGGCTCATAGCAATAGTACCTCCCCAAAAGCAGAGAGAAAATACTATTTATTAAGTATCATCTTATAATAAATGAATAAGCTACAATGTCTGCCGTAATTAACTGTGTCTCTAAAGACTCTTTATACATCCCCCACTCCAAAACCCTGTCTTATCTAACCGCTGGTGGGCCACCCCAAACAAAATAAAGTCTCAAGTCTTAAGTCTTTGTTGGAAAGTCTGCAGCCTCAGACCTCAGTTTCGATAGTCATGGGTGCCCCCTTCTGGCCACTTTCTGTAAGTGCACCCCACTTTCCTCTGTCTTAGCTGGCTCGTGCTTTGGTTTGGTCTGTCTGACCAAGAAACCCTACCCCTCCATATAATCTCACCAGGTTGCACCCAGATGCAGTCCTCCAAAGCACTGGGGTTCTGCAGTAATTAGAGGCAACATGGTGTACTGCGATTGAACACCCACAGGCTGACTTGAGTCTGACATTCAGAATTTTCTTGGTGGTATGATCTGGACAAATGTCCTTCCTCTGTAAAACAGACTGTGAGAGCACCTGCCTCAAGGATCTTGAAGGCCAGTTTGTAAATTATAAGTGCTGTTTGCTGGGTGTCTGAGGGTTAATAATAAACCTCTTTCTAAGGAAAAAAATGTCTCAGGAAAAATCCCACATGTTTCCATCAGAGGTATCCAGAGCCCGGTTGTGAATAAGAATTCACTTGGCAGTTGTGATGACATTGAAATGTACATCAGACAATGTCACATTCCCACTCACAGCCTTCTACTGTCTTCCCATTGCACTCAGAATACAGTCCAACCTCCTCTCCTAGCGGACAAGGGTCTTTACAATCAGCCACTGCCCTCTTAACTCCCCACACTGTCCCTGTGGCAACTTCTGCTCAACCTCCTGTTCCACAAACACCCAAGCTCATTCCTACCTCCAGGCCTTTGCACATGATGTTCTCTCTGCTAGGAACATTCTTGATACATTTATTATCATCACTGAGATATTTGCTTAAATTCCACCTCCTCAAAGCAGCCTTCCCTGACCACTCAATCCAAACAACCCTCTAGACTTCCTCTCCTTTTACCCCTCTTTATCCATTCTTGTTTGTTTGTCCTCACCTGAGGATATTTTCTATTAATTTTTAGGTTGAGTGGAAGGAAAAGAGGGGGAAGAGAGAGAGAAACATCAATGTGAGAGAGACACATCAATTGGTTGCCTCCCACACAGCCCTGACTGGGGCCAGTGATGGAACCTGCAACTAAGGTACATGCCCTTGACTGGGAATCAAACCTGCAACCCTTCGGTCCATGGGCCGATGCTCTAACTGCTGAATCAAACTGGCCAGGGCTTTATCCCTTCTTTATGGTACTTATTACCACCTGCAGAAGCTTTGCCTGGCTCAGCACCTGTTCAAGTAACATGTCCGTCCCCCACAAGACACTCAGTAAATATTTGTGAATGAATTTTTTCTACTGAGGTTTTGGGATAAATAAGGCTTAAGAGATACAGCAGAATATGATGTGAGCCTAGGTTGTCCCCAGAAGGGGATTGGAGATGAAAGCTCCTCAGAGTATCCTGGTGTGGGTGTATAGGTTCTGGAGAATAACGCCACTGCTTTTTCCTCAAAGTGCTCTATGGCAGTCTCAGAACCCTAGAGAAGCCCCCACACTGACCCAGGCCTGGACGATCCTCCTAACCTGGATGAGTAGACGGAGAAATGCCAGCCTGAGCTTAGGACTGTCCCACAAAAAAGGGGGAGCTGGCACACATGTTTTCCTGTTTTCTTACACTTGGACACTCCTCTTCTGCCTTTGGGAGGGAGCCATCAAGGGCTGGGCCTTATCTGAGGATGAGGGTGTCTCTGTTTTGGGTGGAGATTGCAGAAGGCATGGCCTTCATCGAGCAGAGGAACTACATTCACCGAGACCTCCGAGCCGCCAACATCCTGGTCTCTGCGTCCCTGGTGTGTAAGATTGCTGACTTTGGCCTGGCGAGGATCATTGAGGACAACGAGTACACGGCTCGGGAAGGTAGGGGATGCTGCCAGGGGGCCCACTTGGATGGGTGGTGAGTGTTGAGAGTTGAGCCAGTCAAAGTGATTGGTAAAATGCAGAGGTCCGCCCCAGTATTGGCTGTGTTATTACACTTGAGAGAGTCCATCTGGATATAGTGTCCTGGCCTGCAGTCACCCAGAGATTCTGATTTTAGATTGAGTTAGGTGTGTGCATGTTGAAATTAAGTGTAAGAGCAACTTTATATGTAATAGACAAAAATCGAGAAGAATCCAAATGTCCACAAATAGGAGAATGGATATGTAAATTGTGGTATATTCACACAATATAATGTATGCAGCAATGAAAAATTACAAACCAATGCTACATGCAAGAACGTGGTTGACTCTCACAGACATCATAGCAAAATGAAAGAAATCAGACAAAAAACAGTAGATGTTGGATGATTCCATTTATATAAAATTCAGAAACAAGCAAACTTGTGTATGAAAGTTCATAGCATCATTATTCCTAACAGCCAAAAAGTGAAAGCAAACCAAATGTCCCTCAACTGATAATCAGTTAAACAAAATGTGGTCTATCCATGCAATGGAATAGCATTTATAAAGTAATGAGGTGCTGATACATGGATAAACTTTCTTTTTTAAAAAATATTTTAAGTTGATTTTTAGAGAAGAAGGGAGCGGGAGAGAGAGATAGAAATATCAGTGAGAGAGAACATCAATTGGTTGCCTCCTGCATGCCCCCCGCTGGGGATTGGGCTCACAACCTAGGCATGTGCCCTGACCAAGAATTGAACCAGGGACCAATTGGTGCACAGGTCGACGCTCAACCACTGAGCCACACCAGCCAGGCAACATGGATAAAGTTTCAAAGCATCATGTTCGTGAAAGAAGGCAGATACAAAGGCCACGTATTATATGATTCCATTTATATGAAATATCCAGAACAAACAAATCTATAAAGAAAGTAGATTAATGATTGCTTAGGACTGGGGTGGGAAGTTGGAAAAAAATGGGGAGTGACTGCTATGGGGTATTTTAGAGGTGGAGGGAAATGTGATAAAAATATTCTAAAATTCACAACTTTGTGAACATAATAAATATCATTGAATTGCACACTTTAATTGTTTTCTGTTAATCCTCATTGGAGGGTATTTTTCCATTGATTTTTTTTTTTTTTTTAAGAGAGACTGGGAGGAAAGGTGGGAGGGAGAAAGAGAGAGAGAGAGAAACATCAATGTGAGAGAGACATCAATTGGCTGCCTCCCACACAATCCCAACTGGAGCTGGGGATTGAACTGGCAACTCAGGTATGTGCCCTTGACCGGGAATTGAACCTGCGACTCTGCAGTCTGTGGACCAACGTTCTAACTGCTGAGCCAAACTGGCCAGGGCTGAATTGCATACTTTAAATGGGTAAATTGTATGACCTGTGTATATATATATACTGCAATAAAACTTTTAAAGAGAAAACAGGCAAAACTCATATATAGCAATAGATGTCAAAACAGTGCTCACCTGGGATGGGGTGGTACTTACTAGGAGGAGACAGGAGGAAGCCGTTTGAGGTGCTGCAAGTATTTTGTCTTGATCTGAGTGGTGATTACAGGTCTATACATGTATAATACTGCATTGAGTTATATATGAAGGATTTCTGCACTTTATTTCATGTTTGTTATGACACACACACAAAAAAAAGTCTAAACTAAGGGCAACCACTAAAAGAATAGAGTAGAATGTATAATTTCTAAACCAGGAGAGGATAAGCAGAAATAAAGAAAATTCTTTCAGTCTTAAGGAGGAACGTAATGGAGAAAAAAACCACAGAGAGCATTTTCAAAACTTGGCCATGTACTCAGCCATAATGCAGGTCTCATCAAAACCAAAGGTCATGTATCATACGCCACGTCCGCCAACCACAATGGAAATAAGATGGAAATCAGTAAACCCATCCCAGACCAGGTGGGAGGAGAGGATGAGTAGAGGGGACGACACCCAGTGACTGGTGGAAACCTCAAAGGGCAAGGCCGAAATCTTCCCTTCTCCCATTGCCTGGCAAGAGGGCACTGAGACATTAGCTGCAACCTGGACTCGAGGCCCCTGAAGTCCTGCTGTCCCCAAAGATTCTGTGACCTCCAGGATTCCACTCTTCAGGAGTTGTAGGTCACCAGGGTAACAGCTGAATTAACAAGGTGGTCTTGGGGAGTGAGCACCCCCATCATACCCCAGACCCCTCTGCCCATTCCTCCCCACCTTAGCCATCTGTCCTCAGCATGAATGTTCCTTGATTCCAAAGGCCAGATTTAGGAAAATTGCAGGGGCAGATGTGGGCAGCTGTGCTGTCCTGTTCCGTCACCCTAGCAGAGACCCAGCCATGACTGTTCTGCAGACTCTCTCTGACTCCACTGTTTCCAACTCCACAGGGGCCAAGTTCCCCATCAAGTGGACAGCTCCTGAAGCCATCAACTTTGGCTCCTTCACCATCAAGTCAGATGTCTGGTCCTTTGGTATCCTGCTGATGGAGATCGTCACCTACGGCCGGATTCCATACCCAGGTAGCAAAGCGGGCATCAGCTTGGGGCTGCTTCCAGGGCCCAGCCAGGCTTTCTTCTCTTGTCAATGTACATTCAGACTGACCTCTTGATCCTCACCCCCAAACTCCCCTCACCCGCCCCATCTCAGTTAAAGGCACCACTATCCACCCAGTTTCTTAAGCCTGAAATTTGGGGACTTCCTCCACCCTTCCTTTTTTCTCACCCCTTACTACATGCAAGCAGTCACAGGTTTTGGTATTTGACTCCAAAACACATTCCAAGTCTTCCCCTTATAACTCCACAGCCTCCACCCACATCCAGGCCAACACCACCTCTCACCAGCACCCTGCTTTCTCCCTTCTCTCTGATAAGCCGTTCTCTACTTTCAACCAGAGCAATTTTTCTAAAATTGTGACTCAGATCTTGTCCCTTCTCCACCTCTAACTCTCATGGTCTCCCATCACAATTAGTACAAAATCCCAAACTTCTAAATATGCCCGCAGGTCTGGCATGATCCAGCCCCTGCCTACTTCTCCAGCTTCGCTTTAAGAAGCATCTCACTGTCTGGTCATCCAAAGTACCATGCTTCTTGTTCAAACATCCTACACTATTTCCTTCATAGTGTTCACCCCAATTGGTAACTCTATATCTGTTTAGTAGTTTCCCCATCAGACTGAGCTCCGTGAGGCCAGAAATCATGTCCATGTTCCTCACTGGTGTATCTGCACTGCCTACCACTGTGCTCACCACACAGTGGGTGCTTAGTAATTATTTGTGGAGTGGGTGAGTTCATCCACATGCCTGTGGCTAGCAACCTACACTGAGTAGAACACATGGGTATACAAAGATATGCCTAGGACACAGTAAATAATGTTGTTCTTTGTTCCTTTTTGGTTGGGATGTCTCCTGGGGTAGCTCTAGCAGGAAAACTGGGAAGAGGGGAAAAGAGAGATATAAAGAGTCCCTAATTTGTTTTATAAACTGTCCTGAATTTGAATCCTGTCCCCATCAACTATTATACTTTGAGAAATATGCTTCACTTCTACCCCAGTGTCTTCACCTGTAAAAATACAGGTAATGATATTTACCTTGTAGAAGTGACTGTGTAGATTAGGAAAAAAGATGTAGACACTGCTCATTCAACGGTATTTCTCACATTCCTACCGTGTGTTAGGCACTGAAGATGACGTAAGAGACGAGGTCCCCACTTGGAAGGAGCTCCCAGTCTAGCCAGAGGAGCACACACTGAACAGACATACACTCCCAGCTGGAGATCACTGATCACTGCTGAGAAGAAAATGAAGCAGAGGTGTTTGAGAGGAGTAACCTGGGGCTCCTGTGGACAGGGAGCACCTGTCAGAGCAGGTCATATTTGAGCTGAAAAACAGCTGAGTGAGGATCTAGGGAAAGCATTTCAGGCAGAAGGCACTGCTGGTTTTTAGGGCCTGAGGTGTGCCTGAAGAATAGCAAAGAAGCCAGGCAGCTGGAGACAAGGAATGAGAGCAGATGGTAGATGATGAGGTTGGCAGAGTATGGTCATGGTGGAGAGTGAGTGGATGTTAGTCTAAGTCTGCAGAAGCCAGTGGAGGGTTTGTGGCTGGAAAGTGGCATCATCTCATTTCCCTATTTAAGTGATGCTTTGGTTCAGCATGGAGAGTGGATTTGGGGCTGGGGACATGGTGGCAGCAGCAGCAGTGGCATAGGCAGAGGTGGTGATGGCATCTGAGATAGAAGTTGAGGGGTTGATGCTACATTTCAAAAGAAAAAAGGATGTGACCAGCTGATGTGGAAGGTGAGGGAGGGAGAAGAATCAAGGCTGATTCTTCTGGTTTTAATTGAGCAACTGGGTAAGTGATGGTCTGTGGGTAGAAATTCAAATATTCTGTTTTACTCCTGTTAAATTTGAGGTGACTAGAAGACATCCAAGTAAAGATGTTCAAGGAAGCCCTTGGATATATAATTTTGGAGTTCAAGACTGATAATATAAATTAGGGACCACAGACAATTAAATGGTTGTTCTTAAGGATAACTAACACATTTAATTAAATAAGGAAATGGTCCCATTCATACATAGGGTAATATCGAGTCTGGCCACCTGTTTTGTCTTGAGGGTAAGCCAGGAAAAACCAGGTAATGGGTTATGAAACCCTGTATCCATTAGGATGCATTAGGCTGCAAGTAACAAAATAACAGACTAAGGAGTGGTGGAAACAATAAGCAAGTTATTATTCCCCATAATGAGTCTGGCATTGGTAACTGGTTAGTTCAACCACTCAGCAGCTCTCAGAACTCTGGGTTAGTTTGTGGAATTGTCTTCCTCATGTGGTCAGATGGCCGCTGCAGCTCCAAGGACCACATTGTCTCAGTGTCCAAAGGAAGGAGGAAGTGTGTGTCTTCCAAAGTCTCTTGTTATCAGGGAGGGAAACCTTTCCTGGAAGTCTCCCTGGAGACTCCCCCTTGGCTCTCACCAGCCAAAACTGAGTGCCATGCCCCTGTCCTTGCTCAGGGGTCTCTGTATTTCACAGTCAGAGAGGCTCAGCTCCCACAGGAGGTGGGGAGTGATGGCTATTGGGGAGGCAACTATGTCTGCCAGCCCTGGACTCCTATCCTCAATCCCTCCCTTTTTAATTCCATGGCTCCTTCTCAGGGATGTCAAACCCTGAGGTGATCCGGGCACTGGAGCGCGGATACAGGATGCCCCGGCCAGAGCACTGCCCCGAGGAGCTCTATAACATCATGACTCGCTGCTGGAAGAACCGCCCTGAGGAGCGGCCCACCTTCGAATATATCCAGAGTGTGCTGGATGACTTCTATACGGCCACCGAGAGCCAATACCAACAGCAGCCATGATGGGTGGGACCAAGGCAGGGCCAGGCACTGAGACAATGCCCGTGAGATGTCTCCAGCACCATCTGCCAGATGCCCACTCACCCTTCCCACTCCCAGACACCTACCCTCGTACAGCGACAGCTCCTCATCTGTCAAGTAGGTGGGTTGGACTGGACAATCTCTTTTTGACTCTAGCAAACGATAATCTGCCATTATCAGGAGACCCCACATTGATATTTTTATTGCCTGGGACATTTGGATTCCAGCTACAGCTGTGATTTGAATGGGAAACTTTTTAAAAATAATGAAATACATATTTAAATAAAAGATACAAATGCTAAGGTTTTACTGACAGGTCAGCTTTTCTTCCAGTTCCTGAATATCTATTTGCCTTTTTGCTGGACAAGTCAGAAATGGGGAAGGCACCGCCCTGGGACTAGCAGGGCAAAGAGAAGTGGAGTTTGACGTTCAAACTGCCCTAAATAGTTGCTGACTGTTAGTTTTCTGTTGCTGCTGCAACAAATTACCACAAACTTGGTGGCTTAAAACAATACAAATTTATTATTTCACAGTTCCAAAGATCAGGAGTCTGAAATGGGTGGGCAGGGTTACGTGCCTTTTGCAGGCACTTGGGGAGAATCACTTCCTTGCCTGTTCCAGCTTCCAGAGACTACCACATGGTTCCTTTCCATTCATCATTCCAAACTCTGCTTCAGTCATCACATCTCTGAGTCTCCCGCCTCCCTCTTTCACTTATAAAGGGCCCCTGTAATTACATTGGGCCCACTTGAATAATCCAGACTAATCTTCCATTTTAAGATCCTTATCACAACTGTAAAGTCCCTTTTGCCATGTAAGGTAATATCTCCACAAGTTCTGGGGATTAGGATACAGACCTTTCTTTGGTGGTGGGAAGGGGGCATTATGCTGCTTATCATGCTGGTGCTGCAGGGACTCTGGGTGGGTTTCTGTCTCCAAGGAGCTGGGTCTGCCAGGATGACAGAAATGACTTTTCGACTTCCGGTCAAGATGGCAGCGTAGGTAAACGCGGTATCGCATCCTCCCACAACCACATCAAAGTTACAACTAAACTAGAGAACAACCATCATTCAAAACCACCTGAAATCAAACTGAATGGAAGTCCTACAACTACAGAATTAAAGAAGCAGCCACATCGAGACTGGTAGGAGGGGCGGAAGCGACGGGCTGGTCCCACACCGACATGTGGTGGATAAAAATCAGGAGGATACCTCGGCTGGGAAGGTCCTCCCTGAGGACTGAGGGGTCCCCATCCCACACCAGGCGCCCCACTCAGGGTTGCAGTGCCAGGAAGAGAAGTCCCCATAACCTCTGGCTGGAAAAACCAGCAGGAACTGAGGCTCAGGGAAGCTGATGCAGCTGGAGCCCCAGGCAGCTCCTCTTAAAGGGCCCGCACACGAACTTATCGGACTCACTCCCTCTAAGCTTGGAGGGGAGGCAGCTGGAGGGGCGCCAGAGACATACAGGGAAGAACTGAGCTGTTTGGCATTGGAGCGAGGGCTGGACAGGGGGCTTTCTCCGGGACAGACGTGCTGTCAGAGGCCTTTGTTCCTTTGGTGAGCCCTTCCCTGGGGCGGCAGACAGCCGCCATATCTGGGACTCCAGCAACCTGGCTCACACTGGTTGCCCTGCCCTAGTAATTCCCTGAGGCCCCGCCCCACCCAACTGTCAGGCCCACCCAACCTGTTGCCAGTTGCTTAACCATAGGATTGGCCTGTCTTGGATCCTGCTTCAGGTTTTCCTAAATTCTTTCAAACAAGCAGTATCTGGTATCAGATAGCCCCATACCTCTTGTTAAGTAATACACAGAAACAAACACAGGGGGGCAGCCAAAATGAGGAGACAAACAGGTCCCAAATGAAAGAACAGAACAAAACTCCAGGAAAAGAACTAAGCGAAATGGAGATAAGCAACCTAACAGATGCTGAGTTCAAAATACTACTTATAAGGATGCTCAATGAACTTAGTGAGGGCCTCAAGAGCATTAAAAAGGACCAGTCAGAAATGAAGGAGGTACTAACTGAAATAAAGAGTAATTTACACAGATTCAATAGTAGAGTAGGTAAAGCCAAGAAGCAAACCATTCATTTGGAATACAAGGAAGCTAAAAACACCCAATCAGAAAAAGAAAAAGAATCCAAAAAAATGAGGATAGTGTAAGGAGCCTCTGGGACAACTTCAAGCGTGCCAACATTCGCATCTTGCTGGTGCCAGAAGGAGAAGAGAGAGAACAAGAAATAGAAAACCTATTGGAAACAATAATGGCAGAAAACTTCCCTAACTTGCTGAAGGAAACAGACATACAAGTCCAGGAAGCACAGAGAGTCCCAAACAACATGAACCCCAAGAGGCCCACACCAAGACACATCATCATCAAAATGCAAAAGGTTCAAGACGAAGAGAGAATCTTAAAAGCAGCAAGAGAAAAGCAGTTAGTTACCTACAAGGGAGTTCCCATAAGACTGTCAGCTGATTTTTCAAAAGAAACTTTGCAGGCCAGAGGGAGTGGCAAGAAATATTCAGAGTGATGAAAAGCAAGAACCTACAACCAAGATTACTCTATCCTGCAAAGCTGTCATTTAGAATCGATGGCCATATAAAGAGTTTCCCATACAAGAAAAAGTTAAAGGAGTTCATCACCACCAAACCGTTATTATATGAAATGTTGAAGGGTGTTTTTTTTTTTGAAGGAAAAGATAAAATATATGAACAAATAAAATGGCAATGAATACATATCTATCGGCAATGGAATCTACAAACAAAATGAACAGGCAGAACAGAAACATCCTCATAGATACAGAGAACATTTTGTTGGTTGCCAGATGGGAGGAAGGTTGGGGGAATGGGTGAAAAAGGTGAAGGGATTAAGAACAAATTGGTTGCTAGACTGACAAACCTCAAAGGGAAAGGGGTTGAGGGGGTGGGAAGAAATAAACCAAAGAACTTATATGCATAACCAATTGAGACAGACAACAGTGTGGGAAAAGGCGGGAGGGGGTGGTAGTGGGGTGGAGGGGTCAGTGGGGGAAAAATGAGGAACATCTGTAATACATTCAACAATAAAGATTAAAAAGAAAAAAAAAATGACTTTTCATGTTCTGGGATCCTGACTCTCCTGCTAAGTCACATTGCTACATGAGCTGGTGGATCTCCACCAGCACTGGGGGCATTTCCCATGGCCAAGCAGCCATTGTGGTGGTTAAGATGGTATCTACCACTGAAGGAATCCTGGAGTCTGGAGATGTGGCTGTTGAGAGGTACCTGGTTCTCTACGTGGGAAACTCTCAGTGGAGGGGAGGGAGACTTGAGAAGGAAGCAGAGAAGACAAGGAGGCATGTTGTCACAGTTGAAAGTCCCTGGAAGTTAGCTTTCGTTATAAGGGGAGCAATGAGAAGAGGTGACAGTGGGATGGGAACAAATGACACCTTTATATATTACTGCATTCTTTGAAGGATCTATATCACAGCACCCACCAGGGTCCCATGGAACCCTATACTGAATTGATTCTGTACCCCTGAGTAGCACAGAGTCTTAACCTTAGAAACTGGGTATAAGAACAGTGGTACATTGAATTGCTGTTCTACCGGAATACACTTCTCTGCCCCACTGATGTTGAGCTTGAACATGAGACTTGCTTTAGCCAATGGGATATTAAAAGATGTGATGTAGCCCTGGCAGGTTTTGCTCAGTGGTTAGAGTGTCAGCCTGCTGACCAAAGAGTCTAGGGTTCAATTCCCAGTCAAGGGCACGTACCTTGGTTGCAGGTTTGATCCTGGCCCTGGTCGGGGTTGTGCAGGAGGCAACTAATTGATGTGTCTCTCTCACATCAATGTCTCTCTCACATCAATGTCTCTCTCACATCAATGTCTCTCTCTCTCACTCTCTCTCTTCTTCCCTCCCACTCTATCTAAAAATCAATGGAAAAAATATCCTTGGGTGAGGATTAAAATAAATAAATATTTATTAAATATATATAATGTAAGCAGAAGCTTAAAATGTGCTTGTGGGGCTTGCTTGCCCTCCAGCCTTCTGCCCTGAAAAGAACAAGGTCCAAGAAAGATGAATGACATGTTGTGCAGATCCAGAACCAACCTACAGCCTGGAGTTAAACTCAGCTGATTCCAGCCTCAATCAACTGAACCCCAGCTGACCTGTGGACATGTGAGAGAGGAGTACATGCTTAATATTATAAGCCTTTGAGTTTTAGGGTTGTTTTGTTACATAGCATTATTATAGAAAGTGCTCACTGAGACATCATCTCAAGAGTTGGAGCCTATCACTATGTGGACAAGATCAAGAAATCAACTCATGCCCTCCTACTCTACCAGTTTACACTGCCCTACACTCTGATTCATCCCTCTGGTCACAGGAAAGACAGGTGCAAACAAGGGGATAGATACAACACCAAAAGTATGATCCATGAAGAAAAAAACTGACAAATTGGACTCCATTAAAATTAAAAACTCTGCTCTGAGAAAGACAGAAATGAAAAGACAAGTTCGGATACGGGAGGACGTATTTGCAAAACAACTTATCTGATAAAGGATTGTATATCCAAAATATACAAAGGACTCTTAAAACTCAACAATAAGAAAACAACCCAACTAAAAAATGGGCAAAAGACCTCAACAGACATCTCACAAAAGAAGATATACAGATGACAAGCATACAAAAAGATGTTCAGTGGTGTAGGCCTGAGTCACTGTTGGTTAGCAAGACCAGTGGTTAGGAATTAGAACATGATATGTTGAACTGAAAAACAAATACAAAATGAATTGGCAGGCCACTCTACCCTATTCCTCACAGACTAACTAACAACAGGCAGCAGACCTTGCTGACTGCTGCTTTCTCATGCAGGTTTTGTGGTAACCAAACCTAAACACCAATCATACACTGAAGAGAATGCTGGGAAAAAAGTTCAGGTATACTTAAATCAACAGTCTTAAACCACAGCACGGATTGTGTTTGCAAGAGTAGTACAATTTAAATAAAATTTTTTTGGTACGTGCCCCTAGCGGGAACTGAACCTGGGACTCTCTGGTCTGCAGGCTGATGCTCCAACCACTGAGCCAAACTGGTCAGGGCCAATTTATTTTTATTTTTATTTATTTATTTATTTATTTTCTTAATCCTCATTTGAGGACATCTTTCCATTTTTTGTTCAGATAGAATGGGAGGGAAAGAGAGGAAGAGAGAGAGAGAAACATCGACGTGAAAGGGACACATTGAGTGGCTGCCTCCGGCATGACCCAACCAGGGCTGGGGACAAACTGCAACCGAGGTATGGGCCCTTAGAGGAAACTGAACCTGGGTCTCTCTGGACCACAGGCTGACGCTCTAACCACTGAGCCAAATCAGCCAGGACTATTTTTATTTATTTTTTATTTTTTAAATTTTATTTGTGTTACAGGTGTTTCTCCTTTTTTACCCCATTGACCCCCTCCTCCCCACCCCTCCCCACCACATCCCTGGCTTTGTTGTACATGTCCATTGGTTATGCATAAATGCATATAAGTTCTGTGGTTTATCTCTTCCCTCCCCCCACCACACCCTCTTCTGAGGGTTGTCAGTCTGTACCCTACTTCCACGTCTCTGGGTCTACCCTATTCCTCAGACTGTTATGTTCATTATATTCCACAAATAACTGATATCATGTGGTATTTGTCTTTTTCTGCTTGGCTTGTTTTGCTTCGGATAATACTTTCCAGGTCCCTCCATGTCATCTCAAAGGATAAGAGATCTGCTCTGGCTGGTTTGGCTCTGTGGTTGGAGTGTCGGCCTGCGGTCCAGGGAGACCCGGGTTCGGTTCCCGCTGGGGGCATGTACCTCTGTTGCAGTTTGTCCCTGGCCCTGGTTGGGTTGTGTGGGTGGTGACCACTTAATGTGTCTCTCTCACGTCGATGTTCCTCTCTCTCTCTCTCTCTCTCTCTCTCTCCCCCTCCCTCCCTCCCTATCTGAACAAAAAATGGAAAAATGTCCTCGAAATAAAAAAAAAAAAAGGATACGAGATCTTTTTTCTTATAGCTGCATAGTACTCCACTGTGTATATGGACCATAACTTTTT